TCCAGTTTTTGATTTAATCTCGTGTATTTGAAAATCTATGAATTTTTTTAACAATTGGTCTAAGTACGAAATATCATATCGCAAATGATATAAAATTATTAAGTATCATACGAATAATTGTAAAAATTTTCATTTATCTGCACTATTCAACCACTCCCCTGTGAGCAGTATCTCTTTTTTAACCACCCCTGCCACACTTCACACGCAACTAGTAAAATTTATGACTTCAAAAATTGAGATTTTATTAATTGTTCGGAATATTTTCTCACGATATTGTTGCATCTCTTTCAATAGCGCATATTGATCATTTTATTATCTGACGATTAGCTTCATTATTCCAGGACAATGTGAAGCAATCCTTACAGAAGATGAATGAGTACAATTTTTTGCCACACTACCTCAACTGGACTTGCAACAGTTGCTACTACATTTATTCCTATGCGTATATGTCTTATTTATGCATATCGTAAAAGGGGATGGTCGTGTGCTACATGGCTTAATAGGATTAACTCTGAAGAGCACTTAAGAGTCATCATTATCATCAAAATTTTAGTGCTATAAGCCTGTAATGTTTTGATTGCTATTTTGATTGTTCTCGTTATTATTCTGAATATTTTTACTTGCATTTAGTCTTATCTGTACAAATGTTTACAAACTTTCCCATTATTATGTCCTACTGCGTGTGAGGTCATTCTGAAGTATGTACTTTCTCGAGTAGTTGAATTAAGCTATAATCTGAGATTTATATGACTTAAGTGCTTGAAGCGAGTGTGACAAATTTTCATTATATAATTGATAAAAATGTTTATAAATTTAAGATTATAAATAAAAATAAGGATATTTAATATAATAATTAAGTACTGATACGAATCTTTATGGTATCTGCCGAATGTGGATGTAGTTGTCACTGAATTTTAAGAAATTAATGCAAACTTAGTTAAACCAATTAAAGACTTATAATCTATATTAGAACTAATAATGAATTCGATATTAAACTGAATCTAGGCAAGAATTCTTTAGAGATATTAAATATAATATTATATATATATAATAGGTACAACAAGGTATTTCTGTTCCATATCGCGAAGTAACTAAACGAAAGAAGGGTAATAACTGTCACCAATTAAATTTTAATAGTAAATTTTTATATTATCTGAATACAATATAACGCAAATCGGATTATACTCTATAAATAGAGTTTATGAAGAGAATATAATTCAAATCAATTAATAAACATAACAAGTAAATTCTGGTACATATCATTTATTATGAAATATATTACCACATTGATTTTTGGATCCATCCATTATTGAAGGATGGTATTTAAATACTTTAAATCAAATTTAAATCGGTATAACTTTTGAATCCAATATATTTTAAGCGTGATATAAAGGATATTTGATAAACTAGATATTAATTCACAACTTCAGCTGTTTAGATGAACCGATTTTGAGATTGATTGAACTAAAAATTGATATAAAACTTATATCATTTGAATGAACCGAATTTGGGATATTGCATTACAATATCTTAGTGAATATTGAATATGGACGTCTCACCCTTCTCATACAAGTTTTAGTATTTCTTGCATAAGGAAATTGGTCCTGAAGATTATTAGACTTTCCTTACATATGATTTTGCAAACAGTATAATTATATTTTTTATTACTGCACAGTTTTGTGTTCTTTACATATTTTAACACATTAAAATTTACATATTGAAAAGATGTAGTATAAAACTCATAAATATAAATAGAACTCTCTGACATAAATATGTTCTATACTAAAAACCATAATTTACTTACAAAAATAATTTTTAATTTATTGTTTTAATGATAGTACAATATATTATTTATTATTTTTATTTTTGAATTCGTCAATTCTTTTTGAATTGTTACTAACCATTATATCTTCCTTTTATCAATATTTCAACTATAATCTATAGTCAAAGACTCTGAGAATGAATATAGATTATAACTAAAATATTAGTGAAAATGATATATAATTTTTAAAAATATTTTTAAAAGTTATCTACTATTTAAACAATTGACCAATTAGTTCGTTTCAAAATTAATAATAAAGAAAATATTTCTTAAATATTTTTTAATATAAGTCATAGATATTATTATATAATAAAAAAAATTAAAAAAATATTATTATCTAATCCATTAATAATTTGTATACTAAGTCAAATAAAACATTAACAGCTTCCGTATATTTTTCTAGTGTCTTAAATTGAGGTAGGACTATAAGGACTACAAGGATGTTGCTTAAATGGATAACAGCTCACTCTAACGTTAAAATTTAAATGCTTGAATTTAAGGGTGATTGTCCTGGATGTGTAACAAAAAGCTTTAACTTTTTTAAGGATTTTCAAAAATTGGAATTTAAGGGTGAAAGTACTTTTATAGCATTTCACTTACCCGTTAAGCATTTATTAGAACTACGATGACTATCGTTGTTTGCGCTACCAAGAGATGTGGTTGATAAACCCGCAGAAGATTTATCTAAAATATATGAAAATAAATAAATACAAATTATAATTAAGTAACAACTTGTCACTAAATATAAGTAAAAAACTTGATATAAATAAAAGCAAGAACTTAGAAGATGTCATCAACGTAGTTACTTGCTCCCATTGCCAATTTGGTTGAATCATACTACGAAATTTTAACCAATAAATTAGTTAACTGTTAACTGACACACTTTTTAATTTGCTACATCAAGGCATGAAGCCCCACACAAAATTCAATTCCCACACCCAAAAAACACTTTAACCAACATCATAAATCTACCCGACTATAATTGTCACATAATCGAAACTAACTGAAACTTTATTTATTAGCACTGGTAGCAGTGATATCTGTAAATAATCGCATAAATAATTTACATGCATGAATACTGGGAACTCACTACTAAAACTACTAGAGACACAACCACTCGTGTAGAACCGCGTAACGCACCACAATGCAAACATACAAAATATAGCGCGTTCAAGCACAAGAGGGTTAATCGGAGGGGTGGAGCGCACATATTGATAGTCCTTTGAGAGTTTTAAAAAAGTGCTTAATTGGCGTAAATCTCTGTTTGGTATAAACAAACTCGAGATTTTGCGATATCATTATCGGGTATGAGATTAAAATGTTATGCGTGTCTGTCTGTCTTCTGCGATTGTCCGAGCAGACAAAGGCTTAAGTATACCAGCACAAGCATGACGAAGTTATGGGACAATGCAACAAAAGTAGCGTGTGCAGCTACTCGTAACACTTGCAGGACTAATGGATGCGAAATCAATGAAAATGTGCTGCACAATGCCGTCGATGTATGACAGGAAATGCAAAAAACACAAAGAAATATATAAATAATAGCAATAAAAAGATACATTTTGCACTGTCATTATGGATGAATCGAAATAGCAGAAAAGTGAATTTGTTTCAATTTTTAAAACTCTCAATTGGAGTGTATTTTTTTCTCCAATTGATTATATATTGAAAAATTTGATATTGCAATTATCATATATAATAAAATTAAATTAAAATAAATTTCTATGGGAATACGCTAGGAAAACTGTTTCTGAATAAAAATATTATTACGTTGAAGTAAATTAAAAATTTTTCAGTCAATAGTAGTAAAAGGATTTATTACGATTAATTTGATTTACAATTAGTTCTTCAAAAACCAATCCATTAGCTGCGATAGATCAGCGAAGTGACCTAAGCCTAGGCTTTTCCCTAAGCCTAAGTATTTCACAACGTCTTTTCCTTCTATTTCCAAATTATTGACTTTTATTTTCCTAAGATTTTGACTACTACATTTTGTCTCTCCTGATATGAACATGCAATAAAGAGACTAGAGACTAGAAGACCATGCTGTGGGGTAAGTTTTGCAGCTGAAAGAGTTAAACAAAGAGCCCGAAAAATCTTATTTAAAACGATATGTAATGCAGGAGCATAAATAAAGAAACGACGTGAGATTCTTGACCTAGACATATCGCTTGAGGAGAGCAAACCTAAAATAGGGTTGTTATGGCAATTCTTTTTACTGTCAATTTAGAAAATAGTTAGTTTTCAAATATATTTTAATTAGTAGGTAATAAATTGTTGATTAGTAATGTAAAGAGATGTTTTAATTCAATAATCAAGTCACAATAAAGGTGATGCTAGGAAGTAGTAAATTTAGAAAAAAAATGAGAACTTTCATTAAATCCGAATATATTTCCTAATATAATGAAATTTGCGAGAATCTTATTAAATAGCAAAATAGGAGAATGAAATGTATGCAACTATATTAAATATACTTATATTTGCAATATTTCAGCAGATGTGTATATTTAGCATAATGACACAAATGAGAGCATAGTATATTTAACGCTCTAAAAGTTTGCAAGATAATTTCTGCAATTTCATTTTCTCGCTTGAGCAATCCATATGAGAATGAACTTTCAGATAATTGAGAAAATTATTAAATACTTAAAGAATCCCTAGAGAAAGCATATAAATGCATTCTATTTTCTTTGTGTCTGCATTTTCACATACAAATGAGTTCCTTTCTTCACAAACTTTTGCAATTGCTTTTGTGAAAGAAAAATAATGAGTTACGCATGAGAGATTCTTTTTTGAAGCGTTCCGTTTATTCAGAACAACAACAATACTAACAACCACCAACAGCAGCATCCACATCAAAAGAGATACATTCCTGTCCAAAAACCGAAAAGCATTGACAACAAATTTATGGCGCTTAAAAAAGTTTCCTTAAGTTGAATATGCAGCCATCTTTAAAATTTTTTGTGCTCCACCCTCCAACAATTGTGGCAGTATACGTCTTTAGCATCAATAAATAGCTTAAAAAAATATTTATTGTATCTAAAAATATTTCTTACATATATATCTCATATATCAAAATTAACTAAGCGAAAAGTTGCCAAGGCGTTTACCCTCCCATTAGGGGTTTAAGGATTTTTTGGCATTTTTTATTTATTTTTCTACTGACATTGTCTTCGATATTTATGCCAACACAAAAATCAAACACAAAGAAACCGTGTAATAATTTTACTTTACTCAAAAGGACACTAAAGTGAAAAATTTACCCTAAAGAAATCATAATTTGTACGGATAAGGCACTAAAATGTACGGCAAACGAGATACTTTTATCTTGAAGTATAGCAGCAGAAACAAGACGAAACAAAATATTTACAAGCAATTAATTCGAATCAAAGGACATTACGCTTCAGTGTGTTTGTTTCAGCATTTCATTTCTGATTATTCCTCTCCAAATTCATATTCTTCAATAAGGATTTGACTTGTGTTGATTACTTCACACTAGAAAATACAAATTGTATTATACATCAAAAATCAAAAAAGAATTTCTCCTGTTTAAATCTCATTCAAAACCCTACGTGGATCAAGACTCTACCGCATAATTAAGGAATGTGTGAGACCTCCGAAGTGTTTGTTAAGTATTGACAGATAAAAGCAAAATTCGGACGTTCAGTTGGTTTATAATGACTATAGTTTGTAGATTGCCAAGACCATAAAAAATAACAACATTGACAGCCCAGAACATAGACGAAGAATTACCATTATCAATAAGTGGTATTGTGGGCACAGCAGATAATTAGGTGATCTAGAATTCTTTCTCGATCAAGCAAACCTACACAGAATACCATAAAACAGCCATAAAAAAATATTTTCGTAAAAGCTTTTTCTCTTACGAGTTGACAATGACCATTTGAATAATAATCGAATTCGAATAAACAATAGATTTTTCGAATAAACAATGAGTTTTGTCAGTGAAGACACTGACACTGTTCAGCATATCCAGCTACTTATGCGGCTTAATCAAGTCGTAAGAACAAAAGACGATCTCAAGAAAAAAGTAATAGTCTGAGGAGAGAAAAAGTGGAGACTAATAAAGTCAAGGTCAAGTACTAACATTTTATACACAAATCTAGAGAAGACGCGCACAGAGAAAAATTTTTAGAGAGGAGTTGTGTATCAGGTCGAAATTCTAACGATAAGGAGTTGTTAGGACTAACAAAGTTACATACTTTGTGAGACCAATTTTGAGTTAAGAAATAAGCGAAAAGTAAAATATACAGTCAAACATGAATTACCTCTAGTTAAGGAAGAGAATACTTAGCTAAAATATAGTAATAATATCATAAAACACATAGATATCAATAATCTTGAGAATGAAGTCGTAATACATGGAAGTATGGAACTAGCGCGTAAAATATTTAACAACTAATCGCTTGTTAAAACGATTTATCGTGTAACTTACTATTAGACCTTCTTTATATGACTACTAAAATGGTAAAACGAGTTTTTATCACATAAATCTTTTTAATTTTGATATAAAAACCTATTTCAGAATTACTAAAGTACAAGAACTTTGCTTTACAGTTTCAACATCAGCTTCAGTACCCTTTATAAAACTAGTAAATATTAGGCATATTCGATCAATCTATATATATATTTTACATATGTCTTTCACAGCCATATCTTTGATTTCACTCCACTTTTTGTGACTAAACTAAACTTTCTTTGAAAAAGTATTACATTTTCCATATTTTCCATAGAGGTCTTTACTATTCCAGAGATCTTTAGCTGAAGCAAATTTCTTTTTGGTTTTCTTTTGGTTTTATATTCTATAGTTGCCTAGAAGTTTATTATTCGCGTATCTGTTTCTGCATTTTAATGTCTCTCCTGTATACATTATCACATCTTCAACATTATTTTCCAACTGCAGTAGATTCTCCACATAACGAAAGATGTAATATCAAGACGTCATATCGAATGTATTGTATACATTACCTTCGTTATTTAGAAAAAAAACTTTTTTGGTATCACTGTTTTATACAAATATTTAATCTGGTGTTGCATAGGAGGTTCTGATATCAAGTATTCGATGGAGGAAGAGACAAACGCGTATTTAAATTTAACCGATGTTTATGTCGAATTTTGTTTGATTCACTTTAAAACATCTTCAATTACTTTCCAATAAAAAACCATAATATTTAAAATCTTTAATCATTTACAAAATAAATAGATATGAAGGCCATTCAAAACGGTGTATTAAAGACCAATTACTACTCTACAACACCCCATCCAACAGCACACTTCACACTCCCTATATGATTTCTTTATAACAAAGAAACAGACTATAGATAATACCACTATTATTTGGATTTAAGAGTTCTAGGGAAGGGTAATCATATAAATTTAGACAATCATAACATATTTTCTCCCAATTCTTTAATTTATGTCAAAGAAATATATTAAATACTTTTTAATCTAATTTTAGTTTAGATTTATATATTTCGTTAATATCTCCATCAAATTTTTTATATAAGTCAAAATTTATTTTAATATTAAAAAAATATTTAAATACTTTATGTAAATCTTTATAAACGGAAATACAAATCTTCCACATCCGTTCGCGTTGTTGCCACATTTCACGTCTATAAAAGGAACTGTCTTAACAATTTACATATGTCGGCGGTACCTCAAACTTTAACAATCAAACCCATGAACGCTTCCACGTTTTCAATTTACCACAGCGTTTTTAAGTATTTTCGCGCCAAATAACATAAAAGTAGTAAAAAAAATGGAAATATATTCCAGTGGACACAATATACTATAAAATGTAAAAAATAAAAATATTTAAAACGGTTGCCTAAATTTTGGCAAAAAAATAAATGCCATAAAAAAGTATTTCTATCATAAAAAAACTTGGCAAGGTAACATTATACAAATATACGAGGCGGTAAACCGCGAACTCGTTTGGGTCATCACATTTTGACCATTTTGTTGGCATATTTCTACTTCCTCGCCATTCCTCACCATTCCTCGCTATAAATACGATAAATACCCGCGAAGTCCACAAATATATAAATTTGCTGTACATCTTGAAAAGAGTTTTTAATCCATGGCATAAAACAGTTTCAAGAAGTTAAGGACTTAGTATGACGAAAGCATGGAAAACTGAGGTTTAAGTTTGTTATTATTTTTTTAATTTTTTTGCCATTGTTTATATTTTTAAAATACCTCTGTGAAGCCTTTGAGACCTGAAAGGTTTTTACCTTTAGACAATTTATTTAAATATTCCATGTACTTGTGCTTGCATGTCAAATTGAAATTCATTATAGAAGATAGAAAAATGAACAAAATTCTTGACTAGAAGGTTGGTATAATTTTATTAGATGTTTGTCTTTTGGCAGTTTTTGTGCTTTGTGGCTACCAACAGGAATCTACTGATGAAGACGGTAAGTGAATTGGACAAGTTGGGCAGCTTGTCAAGTTCAGTAAACATACAAACAAAACAAAATATATGACTATTAAATGCCAACAAATTGTGTATCATTATGAAATTAATGTAGACATATTTCACTGAAATACAGGCCATTCCATAAATCCTTACAATAATATATTTTTTTTGGTTAAACTATATGAAATGACTACGGATTGCGAGGGCATGGAACATATATAGCATGAATGAGATTATAAATTTCTTACTTACCCCTTGATTTTGTTTCTACATTTGCTGAATCTAATGATGTTGTCGTTAAAGGTGGTGGAGCTGTTGAGGTGATAACGCCATGCTGTCCTGGTGAGCAGCCAGCAGGTTGCAAACTATCCAAACGGTAACGTTGGCCTGTCGTAGCAGACGAAACTGTTGTTATACCATTACCATTCAATACAATACTCGGTGAACTGGCCACTGAGCTTGAATTCATATTGTGCACAATACCAATACAATTGGCTCCATTACTGCTCTGTACATTAGGTAGTGTGTCTAGAGTGTCACTTAAACGTTGTGTAGAGTAAATATCACTAAAGTTAAAATTTAATAATTAATGTAAATTAATTTTTCAATATACTTAAAACTTGTTTATATCTAACTTATACCTAAATGCGCTGGTAGCCCCAAAAAATGTGCTGCGGTCTTGTAGAGCTGCTTTTGCTTTCTCTACACTTTGCTTCAATTGTTCGAATGTTGATTGATGGAAACGATATGACGTCCAGTCTGGTGAACACTGACCTAAAGTAAGGCAGTCTTCAGTTTTGACTTGTGTTAACGTTGGAGGAGAGACGCGTTTTAGGTCCAGCGCCGTTTGATATGAACAAGAATTTTCGTACATTTTGTGAAAGGAGTTAATGTCTTCAGTAGGTACAGTATATTGAAGTACTATTTCAGTACTACTTGCACACTGATAAGTAAATTTAATAGAGGGAGCCCACTTTATTCTAAAAACAAAATAAATTTCTTCTTAATATATAAAATTGTAATCAATGAGACAAAATAATTAAGTTTAATTTTAAATATTAAAATATTGTGAACACATAGTCTTTAATTTTATTTTAAATTAACAGATATATATATTATAATAAAATTATTTTGTATTGTATAATATTATAATATATTGTATTAAATTGTATAATACATAAAAATAAATTTTTTTTTTAAATTGACAAAAGTATATATTATAATGAAGTTGTATTGTATTAATTAAAATATTTCAGTAATAATGGATATATATTGTAATATAGGTATGTACTCGTTATTAAGTTAACGTGAATCAATCTTATATTATATATTATGCAACTTTCTCTGTAACTTTCATTATATTACCTTAAGAGAATATTTAAATTATATTTCACAATTTTACTTAACAAAACCTCACTTCAATGATTTGTTTTTGTACATACATTTATAGAACAGATAAATCAGATAAATTTTCGATTTTATTTATTTAATTTATAACCGAAATAAGTTGCTTCTGAAGTGACATTCTCGGTAATAAGTACGCTACAGAGCTTATAAGTTTTTATAACTACAGTTTCTTCTACGTAGAGGTAATACTAATGTAATGCAGATTATCTGAAGGCCGAAGACCTGTTTTTCGATCTCAACAATGTGCTCCATTCTATTAAAATAGAATGTCATCTGTGTTTTGACCCTCTGTGACTCTGTAACTTTCTATTGCTTTAGGAAATCCTTTTCCAATCTAATATCTACAATAAAATGTCTGTCTACAATCAGACACTTTCTGGTCTTTATTCAAAATACTTAGTATGTACTGTTCTTTTATGGCAATCGCAATTACCAATATTATATCAATCAAATGTTTTCTTAAGGATTAGTATCACTGTCTGCTATCAATATTTGAATGATGTATTTCGATGTAAGTTTAAGACCATGATATGGACAAATTGGATTTATTCGTACAACCCAAATCCTAAGACTATCAGATAGTTTACCTACAAACGACTTAAAGTTGAAGACAGATCTAATTAGTGGAATTTCTACACATTAGTCTTGTATTTGAGATATATTCTAAAAGTTACTTTTAATAATGATTAAAGGTAATAAACTGCGATATTTAAATCAATATAAAAAAGTGAACTACGTCTCAGCAACTTCTACGCAACGTAAATAAATTAGAGTGCCGCTAACATTTTTTAAACGGGAGATAATCTGAGATAAACGGAGTAAAATGACTTCGAAAAAAAATTAATATAAACTACTGAAGATTAATTACAAAAAAATTTTAGTTCAATTTTATAATAAACTCAATCATCTCACTGACGATGATAAACTTTGTTCGTAGTTCCAAATTTTCAATTAAGTGATTTCATACGATTAATTTTCATGATTTCGTATTAATGCCCCTAATATTTTTGTAAAAATAAAGTATAAAAATTTTAAAATTAAAAATCATTTATCATCATCTATCCATTACATTATCTTTCTCACTTGCCAAATCAAAAAGAACTACTCTTACATTTCAAAGATACAATTTTCGTCTGTTTCAATTAATGACAAATAATTGTTGGAATAAAAACTTTTTAATGACTATATTTAAAAATGTAAATTATTATCGTTGTAATAAAAAACCAATGAAATAAATATATTAATAATTCCATTTGAAACCTTACTACTCTTGAAAATAAAATTTATTTATTAAAATAATCGTATATACATTTTAGTATATGGTAAATTTCTTACTAAAATAATTGATTTTTCAAAATGAAAATAATAAAAAAAATGTAAAACGAAATAGTTAGAAAATAGTTTTAGAAATATGATGATGAAATATGATTAACTCTTTATTTAGCAATATTTTATTCAATTTTATAGGGGGTATTATAAACATTATGTTATATCTTTAATTAAAAGTTAGATTCTTGAATTCATAAATTTAATAAAGAAATTCACATATTTAATCTACTATCATACAAATTATAAAAAATGTTTTAAATATAATGTCGAAACTCTCAAAAATCTATTAAAGTATATTTTTTATCATTTAATAATCATTTAATAATTTAATAATTTAATCTACTATCTTACAAATTATGAAAAATGTTTTAAATATAATATCGAAACTCTCAAAAATCTATTAAAGTATATTCTTTTCATTTAATAATCCCATAATTTTAAATTTATAAATTCATGGAAATTATAAACTCACCTCATTACTTTCACAATCGTCATCAGAATATGAGTCCGTACTAAATTTCCATTTCATTAGAATGGAAATGGGAATGGACCTCATAAATCACTTTTACAGAAATAAAATAAGTGAAATTATAATAAAACACGACTTCTGTAATTAGCGTTGTTGCAATATTTAATTGCAGCAAATTTGCATTTGTTTGCAGTCCATAAATGTATGGAACAGTATCTACTAAATATACACACACCTACTAAAATAGAACATAATTAAGTGTAATTTAAATCCACAGTATCCAAGTATCCAAGTGCAATTGCTCTGCTAGGCACACTATTATTTTTGCATTTTAAAATACTCTCCAATGGTGAACTGTTCAGAACGCGTTCTTTCGAAATTATATAATAATAACATATAAGTAATTTATGTTCATAATTTATGAGCTGTCCTATTACGGGCAAGCACTGCGTATGAGTGAAAAATTACCTGCAGCCATTGTTGCTGCTGTATCTTTGCAGTTGCTATTGTGAAGTTATTAATTTAATGTTAGTTTAACTACTCACAAAGACCACTTGGAGATAATGAATGTGCATATACTTATACGGGCAGATAGACAGATATTTACGTATGCATTGCTTTTATTTCGAACGTAACTATTTGAGCGTAAATTTTCTATTATTCGCACTCGGGTCCTGTGGTATTCCATTCTCTTCCAATCATTTCAGCAAAATTCCGAAAATATAACATTTCTTCGCATAAGTGTTTATATTAGT